TGCAATCAAACTCGGATTATTCACACTTGTCTTGCGTGCAAACAGCGATACAGCAAACTGGCGACATGCGCCCACACAGTACTCAAAGATATCGTAACCGGATAAGAGTTCTCTTCAACTGGCTATGGCGGCTCTGCGCCCACACAACTCACTGTTCGCACTCTGGRTCACCCTGGATGTCCCACACGCAACACTCAGTGTTCATACGCAACACACACACACACTGTACTACAGCTATGGCAGCGCTAGCTGCCMCTACCCTATCGCTATACTACACTTCACTGCCCWCTTCGWCTTCGGGCRCACTGCAGACCTCCTCGCACAAGCTGCTGAGGCAGCGCTTCCGCATGGCATCCGCAGGAATGAATCCATGGCKGGACGCAGCCTCTTGATTTATACTTCTGCGCTGCGTTGGTCTGCCCCATACCCCTTGGCCCACGATGTGCACACAGTCCCAGACRGTACTTGCTGGACAGGACCGGACTGACTAACTGGGACTATTGACTCAGCAAAGTGGTCTACCACCACTTGACCACTTGCCTCTGTTGAATGAAGGCCAACTCCGAAAGGCCACTTCTAGAAGTGTCTAACTTGGCCTTTCGGTACTGTAGCAGCTACGACTTTGCCCTTTCAGGTAAGTAGCAGCTACGACCTTGACTCCTCAGGCAGCCTACAGCTACAACTTCGGAACTGTCTAGACTCCTACTCTATAGGTCTACAGTTCGATTCCCTTCTACCCTGTGACCTACGACAATTTGCCTACCACTGGCGTTCCTACAGGTCACAGGTTCAAGTCTACGAGTTGACATTGATACTGTACACAGGTAAGACGGGGATCTAGGGATCGAGCCCTGGGATCTGCATCCGCTACCGCGAACTGGTGAATACCGTTTCGCATTGTCTAATGCACACTTTTATTTTTCTATGAACACTTGTTCTTCTATCAACTACCACGATCTCAGTTGTGAAAGCTCAATAGATGGCGGGAGATTTCAATAGGCCACGATAGAGTTCATTGAAGAGCAAGAGAGACCATGAAAGAACGAGGGACTTTGCAGTGTGTCGACAGAGTTCATAGAACAAGAAGAAAGTTCATCGACAAAATTCGCTTTTGCTCCCTAGGTAGCCCATCATGTTGCACGTACAGCTCCACCAGACCCTTCTTTTGCAGCCCTCATCAATTATAGATCGATCCACAGTTTGCCCTTTGATTAGCGTGTGGGTTATAGAATTAATGCTCAACAAATCCACACCATCAGGTCTAAATGTGGTTCCACACCTACTTCTGCCTCGCTTATGCGATTGTCATGCATGCACACCGTCACTTGTTCTGGGACACGGTCTTTGTGGCTGGTCTGCATGTATGACGAAGTTCAATTATGGTTTCACCGGAGCTTCAGCCCCATTTGAGCCACCTCCCTGAGATTGAGGGGTGAAGAAAATGCTACTGTGTCACAGGCTCTTGGATGTTTCTCGCTTGACTCCGCCTTTTAGAGCTTACCAGGCGGCCCTGCGGTACCCCGACGGTCCCTCCCGCCACCAGTTTCTGCTGGGCCCGCCGGGTCATGTTAGTCGGGGCTCACTTTAGCCTTTAGAGGTATAGAGCTTCCATGCCTCGTCACAGCAGTGTTGCATCGGATCCAGCAGCATCCCAGCAAATCCTGGCAGCAATTACCCCGGTGATTGACTTGTGAGCTCAGGCCCCGGGGGTACCTTGTGGCGCTGCCAGGGTCACCAGCTCTTTTGGCGAGGCATGGCAGATGCTCGCAGAAGGGTTGGTATGTTTCGCAATTCGAGGATAGGCCTCATGATAGTAGGAAATAGAGCTCAGATGTTACCCGAGTCTGCGTATGCACTAAGTACTAGGGTGTAAATTATTAGCATGTTGTAGGATCTGATAGCTGGCGCCGACCCAACTCCCAGGATGTGCCAAACATGTAGATTCAGGTCTGTTCGGCTTCAAATAAACTGGTCGGTTAGCGGGCATGACCACACAGTAGCAGTAGCAAAGTCAGGATCCGTACCAGGTTGTAACTATGGGCCTTGTTCCACACTACTTCAAACTCGAGGGTGGGCTGGTCTCACACCGTTCTACATTGCCCTAATCGCCTTCTCAAGGGTGATTAAGTTACCTGCCTTTTCCAACCTGCCCTGGAGGTGACTTGAAAATTCTTGAAAACAACCTCAGGCAAGAAGGGGAAGTAGTTATTGCTCCCCCTGGGTAGCTCTCTTTCATGGTTGGCCAGTTGTTGTTGCTTCTCGCCCGTGCATGTTCTTCAAGGGAGATTTCAAGAGTTGGGCGTAACAAGAAATGTGTTTAGTATTTTTTATCACAACAATTTGGGCTCTAGAATTGCCCTTGACTTTCAAGTGAAGTGAAGTGGTGTCTAACAAGGCCATATATCTGGGGCGATTCTGGGCGGATAGGTAGCAAAGCCCTTGTTGGTCCTGGCGCTGTTTTCTAGGCAGACCCGGAGCAGTTTCCTAGGTGTACCATAGCCCATAGCCCATCATGCAGTTTAGATGGGCCTAGGCAGGCCCTGGTTCAGGGTAAGGAAATACGGGGCTGTATATTACTAGTGGCCGGGTTTGGAAGGCACCTGGTTCTGGAGGGATGTTACCGGTTGTAAATTAGTTAGCCTTGAATGGTCAGTTTCAGGTTCTGTACATGCGTAGTAATGGAGACTCTAGCGCAGATCGACACACATATGAGGTGGCAGTGAGCAGATCTAACCAGTATGCGTAGTAACCGAGACTCTAGCACAGATCGGCACACACGTGAGGATGCAGTGTGCAGGCCTGTTGAAAGCGGGAACTTGTCCGTTATAGGAAAGCCATGGGGGAATGTGTGCCAGTCACTTACAGATTGGTGTAGTGCTGCGGTGTCGAACGTGTTACAGTGTCGAACGCGTTACCAGCGTGACTTTCTTTCTGTATAAGCTCAAGGGTGAAAGGCCAGGATGGCCCTCTATGCTCAAGGGTGAAAGGTGTGGTTGGTCTCGGGCTAGCTGAAGCCCTTTGAAAGGGGCTGGTGCGCAACCATCCAAAACATGCCGGGGAATGGCGTTTGGGTGGGGTCTTCTGAGGGGGGTCAAAAAAAAAAGAGGAGCTTTGATGACTTGTTTGGAAGTGTGGATATTTATTACATAGCATTTTTTTGGCCTTGCCATTTCAATTTTCAGTTCTTCTTCCTGTCATGAGAAAAAATTGAAACAGCAAGGGCCGCAAAAGAAGAGATGAAGTACTTAGACAACCCTTATCCGGAAACCCCTGGATCAAGAATGAAAAGGGAGAAAGCTTTTCTCTCACCAAATCAGATGCCAAACGGGGGAACTGGCTAGAAAAAGGGATCTGGCAAATTCAGCACCTGTGGAATGACTCTGCCAACACTTGGAAAACAGAGAAAGAACTGCGACTGATTCTCAAGGGGAACCATAACCTACAAGCTAATCCCGCTCGCATCATTGAATCGATACCAATGGAATGGAAGTGACTACTAAGATCAGACCAAAAATGGCTGATGGGAGACTGGGCCGTGCAGAGAAATCAGACAGGTA